AAAAAAAAAACTTAGCAGGGCGTGGTGGCGTATGCCTGTAATCCCAGCACTCAGGAGGCTGAGGCAGAAGGATCACTGTGAGTTCGAGACCAGCCTGGGCTACATAGTGAGTTACAGGTCAGTCTCAACTACATAGTGAGACCCTGTCTCAAAAAAACCAAAAAACAAAACAAAACAAAAAAAACCTTAGATTTTTGGGGGGCTGGGGATTTAATCAGTGTTGCCACCTGCCTCACAGGGGCAAGAACCCAAGTCTGAGCCCCCCTACCAAAACAAACAAACAAACAAACAAACAACAAAAACTAGATCTTTTTTAGCATGTCCTTTGCTCTGCTTCTATCTTTTATATGGAATGGTAATTCCAGTTTCAATTCCTATTTACTTAAAAATGAAACAAAACATTCCACTGGTTTGAATAAAGATTCTGGCTCCACTGGTTAATAACTGCAAATTTTCAGAATCTTTCTTAGCCTTATTTTTATCTCAAAAATGAAGATTTAATAGTACTACATTATGTTTAATGGGTTGCGATAATGTATGTGAAGCTTCCAATACAGTGACCAGTGAATAAAGCTCCCAAAAGTACTATGTTTCTTTAAAATAAGTCATTGAATACTTAAGGACAAGTGTGGTTTGTGTCATGAGTGGAACAATGTAAGGTGGGAAGGTGCACTGGGAGAACAAGCTATACTTACAGAGTCAGGGCAGTAAGCCATTAGCAGGTGGACATGGGAATCTGAGGGAACTGAGATGAGGCTGGGGATTTAGCTCAGTGTCACCACGCCTGCCCTGCAAGCACAAGGTCCTGAGTTCAATCCCAGGTACTGCAAAGAAACTGAGATGAATAGTTCCTTCCGACAACTCAGAAATTCACAGAGGAGCTGAGCGTGGTGGTGCATGACTGTAATTCCAGCGCTTGGGAGGCTGAGGCAGAAGGATCGCTGAGTTCAAGGCCAGCCTGGGCTACACAGTGTGAGTCTATGTGTGCTTTCTTTCAGGGACATCGTCACAACGTGACTGGCACAGGCCAAACTGCCACAAGTGTCTGTCTGCAGGCTGCCTCCCAGCTCTGGACAGAACTTTTTAAAAACGGCTAAGCTCCAAAAATCTCCTCTTTCATTCCTGAAGATTTTTACTTAAAACTTCAAAGAGAAGAAATATATTATGCTATTTTCTGCACAGGAAAGGCGTGGAGTCTAAATAACTGGTGCTCTAAAGATTAGGAACCAAAGTTAAAATTCTATTTCTTTGAAGAAGACCTGTTAATAGGCTATCCATTAGACCACAGTGTTTCCCAAAAGCCTTGTTATTATACTCTGCATTGAACAAAGCACTTGATGAACCTTAGTGTTAGTGAAGAAACTAAAAGGTAAGTATAAACTGAATCTAAATTTTATGGCATCTGGGCTGGGGATTTAGTTCAGGGGTTCTGCTCCTGCCTTGCAAGCACAGGGACCTGAATTCGAGCTCCGGTACTAAAACAACAACAACAAAAAACACACAACAACAATAAATTTTATGGCATCTACTATAAGCTATCCAGACAACAATAACTCATTTTTAAGATATATCTGAGGGGGGCAGGGATGAAGCTCAGCAACACAGTGCCTGCGTAGCAATTGTGAGGCCCTGAATTTGACTCCTGGTACCAACAAAAAAGATGTATCTGAGGAAGGACTATTTTAAGGGAATACAGAAAAAACAAAATGGTGGTAGTATTGCTAAAAAAAATACGACATTACAGAAACATTTACCTTGTGTAATCCATAAGGAAGGTATGTCGATTATAATGTTCTCTAATTCACTGGTCAGGGGTTTTGACTGCAAGCAACAGTAACTTAAGCTAAAAAAATTAAGGTGTGGATTTACTGGAAAGACACCGGAGGATCACTCATAACAGAAGCTCGAAGAATAGGATTAGAGGACAGGTAGTCTTATAGCAGCTTTGTTAAGAGTTCTGTTAGGGCACAGAAATCTTGTGACTCTTTTAGTAGAAGTCTGGCCACACAAGGCTGCAAAGGCAGCAAATAAATCCTAACCATTTCCTTTGTTCTGCTTCACTGGAAACAAGGTCTTGGTTAGAAGCATCCAATAAGCCACCCATTGGTCACAAGGCTTGTTGTTAGGGAATGGAATGAGGAGCGTGGGTTACTGACACTCAGTAAGATACTACACAAGGGAATTTCTCCAAATGGGAAGAAGGGGATGGATGCTGAAGAGCTAAGAAAATCCCATGAAAAATGCAGTTAGCAGTTATTTTACAACAGAAATTCTTTAGAGAACAGCAATGCATCAACCTACTAAAGCTTAATGTTCATCCTCTTAGAACTCTCAATTTCTTCTGCTTTCACTGTCATCCCAAGCTCTTTTCTGTTCCGGAATCTGTTCTCATGAGTCAACTCATCAGGAATGTTCTGAGCTCAGATGAGTCACTCACACTGCCAGATCAGGCCCCTTTGAATCGTGTGCATGTGTGGGTGTACGTGTGTGCGCTCGTGTGTCTGAAGAGCCTACTCATGGATAAGAGGCTGACCTGGCTGCAGCATCTGTTACCCCAGATAATCAGGCTTGATTCAGTGGGCCGGGCCGGTGAGGCAGCTGTCACCCCTCTTTCCTGGCTGCTCCATGTGTGCTCTTCCTGAAGCTGCGTGCACAGACACACAGGCAGACCTTTCCATCAGGGTACAGCTGCCTCCTGCTAGACCCCTCAGAGAAGCCCAATTATTCTTTGGTAAACTGATAACATTAAATTCCTTATAGGCAAAGATAAGACCCATGGTAGGCCCAGAAAGCACTTACTACTAAGGGCCAGTCTGAACAGCCAGTCAGAGAAAAACTCACTATTTCTTTACAGTTAAGAAGACTTAATACTGCCTCACCAAAGAGATAATTTTCAGATCAATTATTCTAAGGAAGGTGCCTTCATGTTTGCCTGATGAATCACAACCCAATGACCCAAAAAACAGTACACACTGGAAAAGAGCTGTTGCTTCCCTCTCCACAGATTAAGTAAAATGAGGCTTAATGCAATTATCAATACCATGTTGAGTATCTCCCCAGAAACAGCTAAAAATAACACTTGAGGAGAAAGCTGAACTCTCCTAGCTGTGCCAAGAGACTGACTTGATACAGCCCAAAGACTAGGCGGGGTTTATTCTGTTCCCTGAACATACTTTCTCCAAGGCCAGCATATACTATGTAATGTCACTGAAACTCAAGGACGGTTTTTATACGACTTCACAGGCTAAGTGCCAGGAGCCTTCACAAACACATTTGCTGGTAGTGCTGATATCCTGCAGCACTATCATATACAAATCTTTCTAGGTGGTGTGCTAGGAAAAGAAGTTTCAAATGTGGGCAGGAGCTCTCTCACAGG